TATTTCACACTCATCTCCATGCATATTAGACAGCACACTAGTCTTTGATGCATTGCAAATAACCATTGAGTTATTAAACAACTTGACTGCTGACTAGGGCGATGAAACAATGCAGAATTGTGTATGTGTTCCATCTAAAATTGTCGCTGTAGGAGGCACCACATCCATTCTTAATATGCTTATTATAACCATTATAAGCCTTCTGAACTATATTATCATTATTATTATTAATAATATTTATTAATAAATTATTAAACTGTCTTAGCCAAAAAAAGGCCAAGTTTATCATATGAGGTTAAAAGATAAATTACTGAGGAATGTAAAACAAAATCGTGACTGCTATACCTCAAAGCTCGAGATTCAGCAGAGTTGTAGTAATTCAAATCCTCAGGTTCTCAACATTTTTAAACACTCTGTAGGCCTACTACAAGTTGTACAATATGTAGTTGGTAATTGTTGAGAGTTAATCATGGTGACTTACCGGTATAATAACAAAAGCGTATCATTGGGCCTACACAAGTTGGTATAAACAAAAGAGAGATAATTATAAAGAAAAAAAATGCAGGTTGATACCCAGGATTGTATAATACTTGTATAATATTCAAATTTATTTGTGTATTTTATAGATGATGAAATACCGTCAGTATATTGTCCTATGGATATTACAGTACCAACAGATGATGCGTCGTATAACGCAACAATAGATTTTATTGCTCCAAACGCAACGGATAATTCAGGCGGTAATTTAACAATTTACTCAAATTTCAAGCCAGGAGATACTTTCCCATTCGGAGTAACTACTGTGAGTTACACTTTCCAAGATGAGAGTTTCAACACAGCTGAGTGTATTTTCAATGTCACAGTATATGGTAAGTTGATACAGGTACACGTGTAATGCATGAGTTTTTACAGTGTTTTAGATATTGTATTGTTTTGTACAGTTTTATTTTATGCATAAACCTGCACATTGAGTGTAGAATTTAAGCAAGTGAATAGAACATATTAAATTCTAGGCTTTTGTTTATTTTTATTACTCCTAATTTTTAGACGATGAAGACCCAATGATAGTTTGTCCAATGAGCCAAAAGCTTAATACAACCACTGACTCTGCCTATGCCCTAAATGTTATTTGGTCGGACCCAGTAGCTATCGACAATGCACCTAGCATTCAAATAATGTGTGTTCCAGCTTCGAACTCTAATTTCACTGTTGGTACAACTGATGTCATTTGTAGTGCGATAGATCCTTCGAACAACCAAGGGAAATGCAACTTCACTATTGAAGTTTCAGGTAAGTCTGTATAATATAGCATAACTAAGTGGTTGTGGTTGTATAGCTACCTAAGTTTACTAAAGACATGAACAATACAAGACTGTGTAACTGTAATATCAATTGTATGTATGCGCGCTTTATTAAAAAATTGAATACAGGGCCCACATGGCCCAACACATGCCTGGCACGCACCAGTACCAGATATCACACCAGGTATACCACCACCAAACCTTACATTATTTTTATTTGTTTGTTTATACTTAATATTATTATTACTATTTTTTACTAAATTTTACTGTAATATCGATGACACTTTGGGAAATGGTTTATTCATTCTGAATCATTGTACACCACATTTAATATATACATATTTATTACAGATAACCAGGATCCTATTCTAGATTGTAACGTAACAGAAACGTATTTTACTCCTCCTTGGTCTGCAACTGTTACGCTGTCAAACGTTATAGAATATGATGACAACGTGGCCATAGACACAGTCAGCCAGAGCCCAGAATCAGGGTATGCATTGCCAATTGGTGAAACATTGGTCACAAACATCGTAAATGATACTTCTGGAAACACTGTGTCATGTTCTGTTACAGTCATAGTAATCGGTAGGTATAAATGACAAAGTAAACTTAAAGCAATTGCTCCTTTTGTTATTGTTTCTAATATTGTGGTGGTTTTTAAATAAAAGTTCATAGTGATTTTCTTTATCTTTGCACTTTTTGTTGCTCCAATGGTCTATTAAAATAACTCTAATTATAATTGAGTGACCAGTTGAATTGAAATGATTGGCTACTGGTTGATCCAGCTTATTTATTGTAATAATGTATTTTTAATTACGATATTATTTATTTTTTTAGACAATGTACCACCAGTTGTTGTTAATTGTCCATCAAGTTTCAATGTATCAACGGATCCTGGGTCAGATAGTACAACTGTCATATGGACTGAGCCAACAGCGACCGATAATGACGGCACATTACCATCTGTTACTGTCAACCATGAAAATGCCACATTACTTTCCATAGGGATGTATGACATCCAATATGAGTTTAAAGACCTTTCGAACAACACAACACCTTGCACATTTCAAGTTATTGTTTATGGTTTGTAAACTACTTTCAGTTTTTAAACAGTAATATTTACAACTACAGCAATCACTACATAAAATGCATACTGCCTTGGTCATATGCCTGGACACTGTATGATACACAGGTTGTGTATGGGTGATTCCATTATTTTCGTTTATGCCCAAGGGTAAGTTAATGCGGGATAAATTAAATTTCTTGATTAGCGAGATTCGGCTGAAATTATTATTAGTCCGTAATTGCTGCCTTGAAAACCATATTTCTTGTTGTAGATGATGAACCTCCAACAACAAATGACTGCCCAACAGACCAAGTGGTACCTAACACAATGGGCTTAGATGAAAATTCAGCTGTATCGTGGACGGCCGTTACTTTTGGAGATAACTCTGGTGGATTTGTGGATGTGGACGTATCACCTGGTATGCCTCCACAGGCCTTTAAAATAGGAACCGGACTTGTCGAATACACTGCCACAGATACACATGGAAACATTGGATATTGCCGTTTCAATGTTACTGTTTATGGTAAGATTTGAACTAGAATACATATCTTTCTATTTTATAGAAAGGGAATTATTTTGAAAGGATGATTGTCGAAAATGCTTTAAGACAGTTGTCAAAGAAACTTAATTCCACCAATTGTTTTTTATTCTTTTTTAATAGGCTTTTTTTGGAACATATGCATAAAATAATCTGCTCTTTAAGTAGAATTATATACTTTGCTTGCCTGTCTTAGTAACACATTTCATATGCCATTTTGCAATAACAGCAATATAACACTTTTGTAATGATATATAAATATATGATGTACAGTATAATTATGATATATAAATTCTGATTATTTCTTGTCAAACTTTTCAACAAAACATTATTATTTAATATGTAAACAATAAAATGATATAATATGAAATAATAAAGTATTTTTGTATTTTTGAAAAATAGATGGCGAGGATCCCGTTATAGATAATGATTGCCCAGACGACATTATAAATACAACTGAATATTACGGGAATCAGAACCCTGTTGTGTACTGGGATGTGCCAACTGCCTCGGATAATTCTGGCTCTGTCAACCGGACGTCCACTCACAATCCTGGTGACATATTCCAAATTGGGGATTCCGGGACAGTCGTTAGGTACACATTCAGTGATAACGCTGGCAACATGGCAATGTGCGAATTCAGAGTAATAATTGCTGGTATGTTTATATCTTTTACTTCATGAAGTTGTAGTTTCTGATTGTCATATTCACAACCTCCTGAAATATAATATTATGTAGTAAGTAGCTGACATATATTTAGACAATCATATTTTATACTTTGCATTGAAGAAATACTGTATTGTCAAACCAGCTTACGGAGTATTTATTCTATAAATTTCAGATCTTATTCATCCAGTTCTTTATAACATTTCTGGCAATCTTACCTATTACACGCTTCCTGGTGTGGACTACGCCATTGCAATGTGGGACGATCCCATGGCAGTTGATAACTCAGGAATAACTATTGTTGCAACAACTATACCATCTGGATCGCAATTTACTATCGGGACCACTAGAGTTTGCGTTCTGGCTTTGGATCCATCGGATAATGGTGAAAGACTTTGCTTTTATGTTACTGTAATTGGTAAGTTATAATCTGTGCATGGACTCGATCAAATTAACATTGTATTCACATTTCTGAATAAACCAGTATATAACAAGAGCAATCTGTATGGAGTGTATAATAAAAATACTAAAATTAACAACAAACATTGGTAGAAAGTTCATAATATTTTATTCTCAAGAATATTTTGGTCGCACCTGTGACTTTTCTGAATGTGCAATTGTCACTAGTATTTGTTCTGTTTAAAACTTTAACTGCGGTGCTTGAGTTAATTTGCTACCAATGCCCCTGTTATGTAAATGTGTTACACATAATGAATAACATTATAATAGCATGTATTAACATAAAACAACCAATAATATGCAAATAATGAAGGTTTATGCATGTAGTAAGAAGATTTGTTAATGAGTTGAAAGATGAATTGTTCCATTGCATGAATGAAATTGCATTCATCATTTGTTTTATCATACATTTATAATAGATTCTTCTCATTTTATATTTATGAAAAATAAAGTGAAGTCCACCTTTCTTCCCAATGAATCAGCCCATTTTCTTGAAAAACAAAAAATTTATGAAATAAAAATATTGAAGAAATTAAACTAAATAAAATAAAAAATAATGTAAATATAAATGCGTTACGTGATAGTAAATACCAATCAACCACAAGGATTTTTGGTATGTTGTAAATTAAAACATTACCCTGAATTGAAAAAGAACAACCTTCCAAATTCGAACATTTTTAAGTTTCATAAAAATTTAGCCTAGCCAGGAATAATTTTAATATAGTAGTACACTCTACATTCTCTAGACAATGAGAGGCCAGTGATTAGCAACTACCAAACGGAAGAAATCATTCGATTCACTGACCCAGGAACACCTATAGCGGTCACTTGGCAAATTCCGACTGTTACAGACAATTCAGGAATGTGGAATGTTTCCAGTAATTTTGATCCTGGTGATACATTTGACGTTGGGGAGTACCTGATATTCTACAACGCAACCGACCCATACGGAAATGAAGCCTCTATAACCTTTACTGTTACCGTACTAGGTAAACAGTACAATTATCTTGTTATTTCACTATCAAGATATATATATATATATATATATATATATGTTTGTGTGTGTATATGAAAACTATAACTCATCATGCGATAATCCTGTATAACAATTTAAACAATTTATGAGCATTGTAATTGGTAAAGTTCACCTTTACCAATTATAGGTTATATAACTTGAATTACCATATATTGACTACTTGCATGATGTTTAAATATTGCACAAGAATGACACCGACTTATGATTGTATATCATTTTGCAGAAACTGATAACATTCCTCCAAACATCACATGTCCAGATCCAGTAATCGTTCCCACTGATGAATCAAGATCATATGCGTCAGGCGTATCTTGGTCTGGTATATATGCTTATGATTTAAATGGTATCTACAATATATCAAGTAGTATACAAAATGGTTCAAGGTTTGACTTAGGATTAACAAACGTGACATATTGGGTATACGATAATGCTGGAAATACTGCCGAGTGTACGTTTATTGTCACTGTACTTGGTAAGTTCTATTTTTAAAACCAAATACTGTTAATATATATATATTTTAAATACTTATTCTATTATTTTGGAAAATGTGATGAGCCCGCACGAAAGAAAATTTTCAAATGTCTGCCATCTGTAGTTATAAAAGAGACCGTATGAAATCATAAGAAATAATAATAATATCAAGCAAGAATTCGTAACCCACTACTGTAGTGTATGCAATATGTATGTATAATAACACAATTATTTATAAAATTATTTAAAATTATTATTATTATTAAAATTATTATTATTATAAAAAAAAATTATTATTATTATTATTATTATTATTATTATTATTATTATTATTTAAAATTATTTATAAAATAATAATAATAATAGTAAAGCTCCAAGGTTACAAAACATTACAATAGTTCAAGTTGCAGAATTATTAAATTAAAACCACAATAAAAACTAGAACATCTCAACTATCTATCAGTTAAATATACTTAAACTCTCAAACAAAATATCTATATCAAAAGCTTATTTATGGATATTGTACCTGTACAGGTTGATTTAAAAGTCTTATAGGCACATGTATATTTTTAAAAATCGTTTCACAAACAACCAATATTCATATAGTCAATATATAACATAATTTAGCTTTTGTAATAAGTTTAACACATTTAGAATGCAATACAATGAAATACATAAATACAAATACAATACAACATTAATACGAACACTACCACAATCTATTTTGATAGTATTGTTATCAATGTACGTGTTACATGTTGATGATTGACATCCAAATAAAGTAAGATTATAGTATGAAAATTTTTAAAAATCAAATAGATCATAATATGTTTGATAAAAACCTACTCACTATTATAGTATTTTGTTGTATCTTAAACCACGGCATCAAAATTTAAGGTCCAGTATCCAAATCTCATGTATACAATGGAGCGCAAGTACTGACCATTCGATATTCAGTAGGCTTTCTAATAATGTTATATTACAGTTTAAAAAAGCTCAAACTTTCTATTTAACTCTTGATCTTTCGAACTGAAATGGACATTTTATCTTGATTTTGATATTTTTTCAGACATGGAGAATCCTGTAGTTACAAATTGCCCGGATAACATTACCGATACAACTGAGACAGGAGAAAACTATGGCATTGTGAACATACCTTCTCTGATGGTATCAGAAAACTCAGGCTCATATGTAGTCTCGCAATGGCCCATGGGATCGCAATTTTCAATATCTACAACGCCAGTCACTATTACCATTACAGACGATGCAGCAAACTCAGCAACGTGCGAATTCTTAGTTACTATAATTGGTAATTAAACCATTTATAAATATATCCAAAAGCTACCAATTCGTTGTCATCTCATCGTCTTTTATGCATCAGTTTCAATGAATGATAAAGCATGGATGAAATCCTTTGATAAAGCGAAATAAAAAAAAATAGTAAAGTTCTTCTATGTGCTACAGTATCTTTACTTCTGGACAATTTTGACATGGCCTGGATTGTAAACAATTCAGATAAATGTGAATTATTGAAATGTAAGCGTTGTAATAATTAATGATAGTAATATTGTCTGGCATATAATGCAGCCTACAAAATTTCAAGTTGGCATTCCACAATTTTTGAGAATATTGACGAACAAGAATTGGCACAGGTTTTTTGGCAACCTATAGTAGATTTTCCATGCTTCAGCATCCACCGTATTTTACACTGCAATCTGAGGCATGGTTTCCACTGAGACAGATCGTACCGGAAACTACATTTATGTACGTTGTACCCGAGGAAAATTTGCCAATCGTAAAACAAATTTTTTGTAAAATATTAATAGGCAATAATATATAATCCACATGCGACTCCTCTTTCTACTCTTTGCCAAATGTGGGCCTCTTTACTATCTAATAGTAGCAAAGTTGTTGTAGATTTGTAAGGGTACAATGTGTTAATGACTTCATAAACTTGAGTATTTGTAAAAACACGGAGGATTGAAAGTTGGCAAGTTTTTGCTGGCCTATTTTTATCCTCATTTTGGGCCTTGCGGGGACTTAGCAGGGGATGTAATTTCCAAAATGGTTACATGCATGTGAGAGTCCCGGCCACCTCCTAGCAATGCGGAGCATCGTTTTAATGTACATCCCCGGCTAAGTCCCCGCCACACCGCCGTAGTCCTGGGAAAATGCCTCGCTAATAAATGATTGGAGGATAAAACCTACTTGAAGGTTTAGCCTACAGTAGGTCTGAATCGGAGAAGCAACGTGAGAGCTAGGCCAAGGAGATGAGGTTCCTTGATGGAAGCACTACGCGTGCGTATCACTTAGCAGTTTCCATGGAAGTTTGGACTACAATTGACAAGTGCATAATCTGTCTCTTATACACATCTAGATGTGTATAAGAGATAGATTTTTCAGTGGGATTGAGCACTGTTTCACAAAAAATTGAGATATGTGTGTGTTATATATATATATATATATATATATATATATACGGGTTGTGTTGTTATACACATAGTAAGGTCATTTGATCACTAGTCGTAGCTTCCCCAACCTACTAAACAACAGAAGTTGATTTTGTATCCAGTGTAGCACAAGAGACGGCCAACCTGCAACCCCTGGCTATCAAAGCGAGTATCGTACCACAGAGACCTATAGAATATACGTGCAGATCTAATCCCCAGGCACTTTCTCTAATACAACATTCTGAAACGGTCACCTACACCTTTATATAGACTATTAATCGAAAGTACTTGATAGTATTCAAATACATTCTTGGCCTATGTCTGATACTCTTTAATTGTCTATACAGCTATCACCATTATTTTGTATGTACAGCAAACTTGACGATAACAAATAAATATAATTTTCCCCTTACATTAGATGATGAAGATCCAAAGATTATCTTCTGTCCAACAAATATTTTAATGGACAATGACCCACAGCTTTCAACGGCTGTAGTAAATTGGACAGAACCAACTGCAGATGACAATCATGGCATCGCCTCTCTACAACAATCCCACATATCAGGAGTTGATGTAATGTCTGTTGGAGATAATTTAGTTAATTACACCTGGATTGATCATTCGGGGAATACAGTCACGTGTCTATTTACTGTCACAGTTCGAGGTATGTAATGTTATAAATAGATTTGTTATTTTCATTATATTTTTAAAACTTCTGAATTTACATTTGGTAAGTATGTTTTATTAGCAGTAGGGTTATCAATTTTCAAAAACGGACATGGAGTTCCTGTCACATTACTTTAGTTTGGGACGTGGTCAGGGGTCTGTACTCGTTCACAAGGGCAGTAGTTGGAGCCTGAAATGCAGGCAAAAAAATTAACCCCCATCCACCCAGCCACATCAACAATTTAAAAAAAAGTGAAATTTATGAAATAAAAATTTGCTCAATTATTTTAGTAAATCTAGAAAGATAATTCTGACCATGAAGTCTGCCCTCATAAAAAATATATAGGGATGGTTATTTAGTTTAATCTGATTCTTTAATTCAATTAATGAATTAGAATATAAAATTAGGTTACTTGGTGGCTTTGCTGTTGTGCCTCAATTCATATAGCTGCAATCCTTCAATGAAGTGGTGGTTCTGCGTCTCAGAATAAGTTCTTGGAATTGGCGCATTACAAAGTTATATTTTTATTATTATTATTATTATTATTATTATTATTATTATTATTATTATTATCATCATTATTATTATATATTATTATTATTAAAATTATTATTATTATTATTATTATTATTATCATCATCATCATTATTATTATCATTATTATTATTATTATTATTATTATTATTATTATTATTACACAGACGTTGAAGATCCGGTATATTCAGGTTGTCCAACTTCACAAATACAAGTGGAAACACCAACTGGCTTTAATACAACGACCGTATACTGGACTCCACCCACTGTTAATGACAATGTTGGCGTGGTCATAAACACATCGGATTACCAACCGAATGACATATTTGAAATTGGCATAACAACTGTAACATACCACGCGGAGGACGAAGCGGGAAATGAAGCTAACTGTATATTCACAATTCTTGTAGAAGGTAAGAACGTTATCCAAAATCTATCAATTTCCATTTATTAAATTTATTCTTACACATACAAATTCGTTAAAATAATATATATTTAAAATAAAATATTAGGCTTAATATATATAGTAACTGTAGTGGTGATACACTTTATAAAGTGTGTATGGTATTATATCCTCTTAATGGAAGTCACAACCCAAGTGCAAAAACCTAAGAACAAAAAACTTTAGGAATGTAAATATAAGTAATTAAAATAATGAGGAAAAAATGAGATTTGAGTAAAAAAAATAGATAATATTTGATCTTCCTCATTATTGTGTATCATATTGATTTTTGTTTTACGTTTGTCTCCCAAATAGTATTGATGTATTGACCATGTAGAGTGTGAAATCAATTGCCTTCCATTTGAACTTCCATCAAAAGCCCCAGTGGCATAGTTTGTTACGACATCTTCATAGACAGCAGAGAATCCAGAGTTTAAATCACGATTGGAGTGATTGTTACACTCGCAGATTCCTCTTTTTGACTATTAAAAAATTATATATATTACAG